AGCTCAGTTATATGTAAATAATGTAAAAGCAGTCACGAAAGAAAGTTTATTATTTTAAATATTTCAGTACACTGCTGACAGAATTTGAAATCATTTTAGTTTTCTGATTTTACCCAGACTGTTTACCCCTAGCTTTCCTTAATATTACCTCATTAATAAATTATTATAAACACTAACAGATGGTATCCCAGTTGGCGTAAGTTTACGAAATTACAACGCTAAAATTCGGGATTCGATTCCCCGCGGTGGACACAGCAGATAGCCCAATGTAGCTTTGCGTTAAAACAAACGTACTCTAACAAGTGAAATTTTGAGTAAGAAATAACTCATTTATTTTGTAACTTTAAAAGAATCTGCCAAATATATATTAATGCTGATAAATACTATTAACAGTGTTGAAGGTGGCAAATAATGTTTTATCCTTTTTTTATTCATAAAAAACTAGAAAATAAAAAAAACGTTATATATATGCATATTATATATAAAACAAGCATTACAGTAGAATTAATTAATTAATTGCCGTTATCAGTCCTAGTTTTCAAGCAGAAATCATATACAAAATTATCAGTGGCAGTTATTATCCCAAATATTAACACATGATACCTTCCTTTCATTAAGATACATTTGCCTATATTTTACTCTATTTTGATAGAGCAGCTCTGTCAGTGCTATTTTTTTTGTATTAACGCTGTTTAAATTTATGCAACCATTTATACAATGGTTGATAAGTGATGTGCTTGGAAGAAAACCCAACTTCACATATAACATTTCTTAAATGTATCAAGTTGTGAATATGTTTTATGACTTTAGATAATTTCGATTTCAGTGTATGTTGCGTCATAACTGGCTAGGATTCAAGCCCTTAATAATGATATTCGCTAGTGACGAGAACTGGGGGAAAGAAATATATAAATCGTTCATGCATTTCATACATATTTTTATCTTTAAATTGAACTTCGTAAAAAAGTACTGAACATAAAACGATGTGAGATTTGTAAAAATATTCGAAATCAATTCGAAAACTTTTATTTGTTTGTTGAATTTCTCGCTAAGCCACCAGATATAATTTAGGTTAACTATTTATCACTTAGTTTATTTAGTTTGTTTTGTTTTATTTTATTTGTTAATTTAAGAAAAAAAGTTAAAATGTTTAATAAGTTAAACCTTACTTTTTTTACTTCTTCACTAAAATAACTTCCACATTAAAAGTCTACAATTTAGAAATTAGAGGCTCTAATAATGTTATTATATTTTACAGTTCTTTGTCTTCTTAAGACATCTTTTATTTTACCTAAAGTCCGCTTGAAGAAAGAATTTTTTGTTTCATTGTTAAAACTAAATGTGTAACAGTTTTTATCTCTCAAGTTAATAATCCGCGCCTAATGGGATATATTTAACTACTGTACATGTTTGTTAACAAACAAGCGTAAATCGTACTATAGTATGGTAAGTAATAAATATCATATTTCTTATAAATAATTTGACCTAAACTTAGAGTTTATGAATATAAAAGTTTTTAATGAAAACAATTTTGTTATTTTATATTTCTTTTGGTAGTAATTTATTGAAATGTATTGATATTTTAAATTAATACACGCATATATCACAGGCTCCGGTTTTTAGTTTGCAGCTTATTGTTGTTTAGAGAGTGTTTCCCGATATGGGTGTTCGATTCCCCTCGGTAGATAGAATGCAGATAGCCTATTGTATAACTTTGTGCTAAAAACAACAATAAGTATTTAGGGTGTGCTTGAGATAACTTTGTGCTAAAAACAACAATAACTATTTAGGGTGTGCTTGAGATAACTTTGTGCTAAAAACAACAATAAGTATTTAGGGTATGCTTGAGATAACTTTGTGATAAAAACAACAAATACTATTTAGAGTGTGCTTGAGATAACTTTCTGATAAAAACAACAAATACTATTTAGAGTGTGCTTGAGATAACTTTCTGATAAAAACAACAACTATTTAGGGTGTGCTTGAAATCATTCTCTTTGTTTAAAAACATAAATATTCATCTAAATTTATTAATACTGAACAAACTTAGTAGTTACAAAATTCAGATATTTAAAAATCCATACATAACCTAGTTTTTTTTCTAAGTCTTTCAATGTTCCATTAGCTCGCCCTTAGCAAAGGTACTGTTGGTCAAACAAATGGATCGATCTGACAGGTTTATTCAGTTATTTGCACATAACAGGATCTTCATCAACACATGGCGGAACTTCTGCGAAGTTTCCTTTTTTTTCTTTGTCTTTGACGTGTCGATAATCTCTCTCCTCTTTTTGTAGACAGTGTACACAAGGTTAATCGCGCTTCAGAAAGAAAAAAAAAACTATGTTCCAGGTCCCGTGCTGCCCTTGGAACTATTTCCTCCATCGTTGATCGTGCTCGTTCTGATGGCCATGATTACTCACTATTGCCCGACACTGCAATTTCCATTGTAACAAGCTTATACAAAGAACAGTGAGTTCAGTCTTAGACCATACATCCTGAGAAACTTTTTACAGACCATCCACTTGTATGTGGACGACGACTTCTAAGATCGCGTTTAAACTGACGAACAGCACCAAAATTTCTTGGAGCTGCTTGGAAGAACTTAACTGGAATATAGTCGAATGGCATTGCTAATTTCAGTTTGTTTGAAATTCCTTTTTATAAAAAAAAAGCTAATTGGTTTTAAGATGTGGATTAAAGCTTATAAACGTTTGATTTTTCAACCTTCATTTAACTTCTCATTTTTTTTTACTATATTGTTAACTGTCTCAGCTTCATCGAAATACAAAGGGGGGGTAGGTTTTTTTTTTAACCAAAGTTTTCACTTTGTGGTTCAGGAAGAACCTCCGATTTGACTTGTGATGTATTTTTTGAGACCTGCTGCTGTCCGACATGCTTTGTTGTTCGAGTTTTCTCACTTCCATGAAGACCATTATAGATATTTATTTTCAAAATGTTGCATCTTGTGGATCTGTATTGTTTGATAAACGCTTTACAAATATTCATCTTTAGATAGGGATGTAACGTATGCATCCAGTCATAAGATACTATGCCAGCATTGCACTGTTGAGTGGTCGCTGTGAACAAAGTATATGTAGATATTAGCTGACGTATCAATCTTCAACGCAAGGGGGAAGACATAGGGCCCACGTGATGACATATGGAACTTAATCTGAACACCGAGCACCCTATGTCACTCTTCGGGGAGTACATGTTAGGTTTAAGGATAATCGATAAATAGGTGAAACATCTGTAATCACAAAATCATCCTACGGTATGACATATGGAACTTAATCTGAACACCGAGCACCCTATGTCACTCTTCGGGGAGTACATGTTAGGTTTAAGGATAATCGGTGAATAGGTGAAACATCTGTAATCACAAAATCATCCCACGGGATGACATATGGAACTTAATCTGAACACCGAACACCCTATGTCACTCTTCGGGGAGTACATGTTAGGTTTAAGGATAATCTGTGAATAGGTGAAACATCTGTAATCACAAAAAGAAAGTTGCAAAGTCTTAAAATAGTAAGACTAAAAAAATTATAATAATTTCAAAACAAAAGTAATAAAAGCTTGTAAATAACTGAAATAAGATTGTGAACAATAAAAATATAATATTGTTACCTTTTTGCACACATTCAGAAACGCTAAACATTTTATTATCTATAAAGCCTAAATCAACTGATTGAAGCTCTGATGTATTCAGGAAAATTATTCATTTTACTTTATATCTTATGATTATTAGTATATTCAATTTCATTAATGCTTATTTATGCATTAATCACGCCAGAATATAAGATATGATTTAGTACAGAGGTTGAGTGCTTTATATTAAAACGATTTTAAATATGAAAATCAGCAAGTCACGTGACAATCACAATTTATAGGTTGTGTGATTCCACCAAAATATATTGCTTTTGAGATGGGCACGTAACAACCCTTTTCCTCTCATAAAAACTTTTTACACACTTAGGCCATAAAGATGTTTTAAGATAGGAGACATAGTACTGTATTTCTAAAACAAGAATATTTAATGGAAACACAAGAACATGTATCAACTCTGAGCACCAGAACCATAGAAAAAGAGATATGTAACAAGTTGTACTGAGCCGTTATAAGTAAAGTGTGGCATACTGTAACAGACGAGATTCCACAAATACTACAGTCATTGGTAAAAGCCATTCTTGTGCCCCAGGCAACAGTACAAAACATAATCAAAAAATGATGTCAACCGAGTATGGATTCACCAGAATAAGACTTCCAGTCATATCTTCTGTTCAACTGTCGCATATCTTAAACAGCTGGAGAATGAAACGGGTATTCATGATTTTCCTTAGGAGAACATACTGATCAAGCTGCCGGATGCAGCACCTATGGATTTCTGTGCGATCAGACTGTCGAAACAAGCGCTGGGAAGCCGTTGTTCTCAGACTCTAGATTGACTGTGGATAGCATTCAGGAAGTAGTGGTGTGCTTCGGACATGATAGCCTTATGACGAAGCCTTATGCAATAGAAAATTCGCTGCATGGGTATTTTCAAATACACGATTGTATGATAGAGTATTCCCCGACGTGGTGAAATGGGCATTATCGATTTGTTTAGACTCCAAAATCGTTGTAATACAGGGTGGGCCAAAAGTAGGGTTACAGTTACTCTATTATTTGTTTCGCCTTCACAATCACGTTTTAAATATACATGTAAATCATAGAAAATAATGCTGAAACCTTATTTTGTACTACTTACTCATGTTTTAAAAACGTTATACATTTTATAAATTTCTAATAAAGGAAAAATGTTTAAGTGTTAACTGTAACCCTACTTTTGGCCCACCCTGTATAATGTACCCTGCGCTCTGTATATAGATGAGAAAAATAGTCACTGAATGACTCAATAAATTAATTAATAAATCACAAAGGTATAAAATTATAAAATCAAATATTTTTTATGCATAAAAGCTAACATCATGTGTATTTATATCTTTGTTTTCCAGCTGTGTTGACTGTTAAGATACTGCGTCTTTCAGTTCCACACTCAGTTCAAAACGGAACAGACCACGTTATTTTAGATTGCGAATATAACTACACAGTAAATGATCTTCGTCTTGTTGTTAAATGGTTCTACAACAACAATTTAGAGCCCATCTACCAGTGGATTCCTAAGCTGGATTCTCGACACATTTCTCAAAAGTTTAAGGGTAGGCTTGACCTTTCTTATAAAGTCAATTCACCTGATCCCTACTTTTACTACCGAGCCCTCTACGTCCAGCAACCTACTTTGGATATAAGTGGTAAATACACTTGTCAGGTGATGTCTCTTGCTGGTCATGATCAACGGCAGCAGAAGATGATGGTGTATTGTAAGTGTTGTACTCTTTGATTCTCAGAATATAACTGTGTAAATATATTTGGGAAGAGTAAAATATAGTTAATGTTTTTGGTGAATATAAAAGTTTGAATGTTTCAACGTTTTGCAGTCTGAGATTTACTTATACTTTTGTTTTATTATTATATTTACTAATCACTGGTGAAAGAATCAATGTGGAAGAGTTTGGATAAAACCGATAATTCCTCAACGAAACAAAATCCCCCTCTCTCTCTCTTCCCCCGGTAGCTCAGCAATAAGCTTAAGGGCTTATAACGCTAAAGGTCGGAGTTTGGTCTCTGCGATATATACAGCACAAATAACCCATTGTGCAGCATTACGCTTAACAACACACAAAGAAGAATAAAAAAATTGACATTGATTAAACAAAAGAATAACTGGACATTTGAATATTTTCGTTCATAGAATACTAGTGAAAAAATTATCAACAAATACTCTGGAAGATAATGTTGCCTTTAGATCACAAAAGAATTACACCGTAGAATAATTACTATAATTTCTAGAACCCTTGCACTAACATGGGACATTTAGAAGTAAGAAGACGCGAATTAAATTCATCATCATTATCATAATTACAATATAAGTACTTCCAGAAACATACAAAACTAAGTGTGGTTAAGCGTAATAAAAACGAATTAGCAATCCAAAAGCTTTTATTTAAGCTATGAGTTTTAGCAACTTTTATAAAATAAAAAGATAAAAGTTGAAATCAGTTATAAATGTATCTTATTAAAATGTTACTTCATATGATACTGTTAAATCACGTAAGGACTTTTTGGTGTTTTTTTACTACGATATTCAATGTTATGAGTAGCCACAGTCTCATTGCAGGCTGATGGTTAATAGAGATGGCGTAACCACTAAAGAACTATTATGCTATTGTTGATTAATAGGAAGTACTGGTAATATACAGCACAGTTTAAGCAACCGACTTGTAGCATTTGATTAATGGAAATTGTTTAAATTTTTCACTCAGGCTAGCAATAATAAGAACCAATGTTGTACTTCACACATAATAGAGTCAATATTTCAGTACATGCAATTAACAGACATATTGAGGATTTTCAGTGAGGGAAATTATTGTGATTTTCAATGTTTCAATAATGCTAAAAACTAATATTGTACTGTACAAATTTAGCAAGCACTTTGTGGTCTTTGACTGATGAGATATACTGAAAAGTTCCCTCCAATTAACAACAATGGTAATACTCGTATTATCCTCTATTATATTTAGCTGTTTTTGATTTGCATTAAGTATAGCCATATGTAGGCTTTGACTTTTAGTGAGTATAACTATCGTTCATCAAAGCCAAAAAAAATTATATTTAGTTAGGTGTCATGTAGTATGTATTTGTTGGAAATGCAAGTATTATCTATTCGAAGTTGTAATAATTACAACTAGCTGTATTGAAATATGTAACTTAGCAGTCAGCATGTAAGGCTGTTGAACTATAAATCTAAGAAATATTTATATTTTCAAAGTAGGTAACACCAAAATAAATGTATAAGATATTTGGAAAATAAACAAAGTTTAGCTTCATAGAAAAAAAAATAAAATTTGTATCCGAGATATTTAATTTCGTATTTTTATCAAAACTGTTTCTTGAGATATCTAGTTAGCTAAGCCTCGCAAACAAAAGCAATCCCTAAGAAAGACTGTTAATAAAAGCTTCTCAGGAACTAGGTACTTTTTGTAACAGTATAGAGGTAATGATAATCCATTCACAAAACTATTGTTCACGCTAATTAGCAGTGATTGCAGCTAATACACAAAAACATAAAATGGTTATACCTAAATTATTTTTCAGAAATAATGTTATACATCTTAGTTTAATATGATTTACAATATATATTTTTATCGTAATTCATTTGCTACCATGTGATTGGCTATAAAGTAAAAATCTATTTACTATGATCAAAAATTATTAATAGGCTGCTAAAGGATAAGTTACATAAACTTCTGTAAATTTTCATTAGAACTTTAAGAATTATAAATATTTGCTGTATCTACAGGGCTATAATGTAGGATAAATGATAAATTTAAGAACAGGCATCTTTAAAAACTGAACATTATAGCTACAAATATAAATTCTGTACGCAGAGTACCAAAGAGATTTATTTGGTTAAACTTTATTCTATATTTTTCCTTTTGTTCATGCTACACTAGCTTCAAACGGTCAGCTACTACCTGCGATGTTTAATTTGCATATTCTTTCTTTATATTTGATTCATTGTTTATTACTTTATATTCAATTTATGTAAGAAACCATTTTTGGAGTAATTGTACTATTTATTTAGGCTTATATTGTCGACGAATCGACAACATAACATATTACTTTGGTCGAAGATAAATATATCTGTCAGTTTATCAAGTATCAAACTGTTAGTCACTTAAATAATACTTCTAGCCCTTTGATGTGTTAAAAGAAGTTACGGGTTTATAAAATAGCAAATAATACATGTGAAAAATGTGTTAGTGTTCATAAAGATGTGTGTTTTACTTTTAATTTATCTATTTTTACAACAGTTACTGAAGATAACAAGTTTTACATTTGTCTCTATATTTTTCAGCTCAAGCGAAGTCATTCTCTTTCTCTCATACTGAAATTTCTAGTTCAGAAAGAGAAATCTCTTGTGAAGCAATGGGGCTGTTCCCTCGACCGGAAATGTCTATCAATATTATCCTCCCAAAGCACTCTAAACAGCCACTGTTACAGGAATCAAAGAAATACGTCAATATTACAAGGGAACTTTATTCTATTTGGCTCAGTGGAAGATTTCATGAAAAAGATTTCCCAAAGGCAGATAAGGTAGTCCTGGAATGTGAAGTTTATATTCCAGAAACAGATTACAAAATGTCAAAAGAAATATCCTTTTACACAGGTAACTCCTCTTCTTCACCAAAATTGTTTTTCTCGTTTAATTTCAAATGTTTGGTATAAGTTTATTCGTAAAATTTCATTGTGACATTACTATATATTGAAATATATGACGTTTAATGGAAATAATTGTTAATAATATTTTAGTATGTCAGAAGGAACACAAACCAACTCTAAATCTGCCCCCCCACTGGCACAGCGGTATGTCTTCGAACTTACAACGCTAGAAACCAGGTTTCGATACCCGTGGTGTGCAGAGCACAGATAGCTCCTTGTGTAGCTTTGTGCTTAACCACAAAACAAACTCTCAATCTGAATATATGGATAAAAAATATGAAAACATGGTAGAATATCGAAATGAGTTTGTTTATTTGCATATCTATTTCGCGAAATATATCGAAAATGAATGTTTGGTTTGAATTTCGCGCAAAGCTTTACGAGGGCTATCTGCGCTAGCCGTCTCTAATTTAGTAATGAAAGACTAGAGGGAAGGCAGCTAGTCATCACTACCCACCACCAACTCTTGGTCTACTCTTTAACCAAGGAATAGTGAGACTGACCGTCACATCATAGCGCCCCCACGGCTGAAAGGGCGAGCATGTTTGATAGGAATGAATGTTATTAATAATATTTTGATGTTAACAAATGAAAATACCAGATTAAATATACACTGGTCAAAAAAATAAAAGGAAATATTTTATGGTTAATTTGTTTCTCACTCATCTGAACAATAGAATTGAAATTAATCAGAATACATTTCGGTATTAAATTTTATTGAATGAATACAGTTAACAAACTATTTTCATTAGCATTATATCACTATGCAGTCATGTCTAGCATGAGTACTATTAAATTGATAACGGCCGAATTTAAGGTCTCTTGGGTAAAACAGTTGAGCCGTAATGAGTGTCTCCTTGTTTCTTCAACAATATCTGCAGGACATAGTTCGGACTTGTCAATGGATAATGTTATGGGGAATCCAATCTCATAGGATAACAATGCCAATCTTTACGATGCTGTGCGGAGAGATAAAATTTTGAAACACATGCCACCTAAGAAGGTCTTGGAGGTGTTGTATAGAATTTAGATGAGGCATTCTTGCAGGCAGTTTGTGATCTTTATAGTTTTCTAGTTCATGGTCGTATGTTATAAACCTGACATTAACAAGGATGTTATACTGCATAAAATCAAAATATGACTCCACTACCTCTGTGAAAGATCGTACGTCTTGACCTAATCGAGCAGAAAATCCGCCTCTTCTAGAAGCAAAGTAAGATCAATGCATCGTTATTTACTGATGTTCCTCACACCATAACCGATCCATCGCCGAAAAAATCACATTCAGCAATGTTGTACTGAGTATATCATTTTCCTTTGTCTTTACATGCACGTACTCTGCAATTATTAGCAGAGTTATGAAGCGCGTTCTTCCAAATTCTGTTGATCCATACAGAAATCGAAATGAGTTCTGCTGCAAGACGAGATCAACTGTTGGACTGAATCAGGTTGACTTAAGATTGACTTAAATATGTTATTTCTTATCGCTTACTTACCAATAATCATTACAATTGCTGTCCTGAAGTCAATGCTGATGAAAATAAACACTCAAATACCATCAACCATTTTACGCAGAAGGATGGCCATTACATGGTGTGCTTGAAATTCCACGTTCTTGTTTAGGCTCTTTCATGTTTAAAACTATTACTCTGATAGCGTGTTTAAATCTTTCTCACTAAAGAACTTGAAGACAAACATGAGCAGGTACTTGTTTCGGTTTTTCTTTTACTCATTTGACAGTCTGTACCAAGTAATTATTGCCATAAATCTATACAGAGGCGATTACTAACATACAAAATAATCAAATCTAAAGAGGAAATAGGGATAGTGCTAATACAGAGGGTAGCACCGTGCTGAATTTTGCTGTACTGAATCTTACATATTTATTTTATGAACTAATCAATTTTAACTGTTTAACTGTAAAAATTACCTTTCTAGATGCTTGTTGGAGAACTCATTATCCGAAAGACGTAATTAATTTTACTTACCTAAAACAACTTATGGTGCTAAATTTGACATTTGACTGTAACTGTACATTCAGTTCATTTTCAACAAACTTATATCAACAATATGACCAATTTATAAAAATTTCCTTCATTTTAATAGTTATTTGTCTTGAAGTTTAATTGCCACTAAAGGAAACTTCTAATTAGAATTTAATAAGAAAGCACAAAGATAGCTAGTATAATGATGCAAAATTCTATTCCTTAGTTTGTAAAAACATAGATAAATAAAAATGATTTAATTTTATTGCTTGAAAACTGTTTATTGCACAAAACAGTGTTTAATAAATTTTGCTTATAACATTAATTTGGATTAATATATTTCATACTTTTTTTATCAGCATAACGAGTAAATAATATGAATTGATATATTCAGTTTTGTTTCTTTTTTAAGCACAAAGCTACACAGTAGGCAATCTGTTCTCTACCCGCCACAGGTTTGAAACCCAGTTTCTAGCGTTGTAAGTTCGCAGACATACCACTGTTCCACTGGGAAGCGACGTATTTAGTATTTATACGTTTGCCCCTCCCAGTTGCTCAGTGGTAAATCAGAAGGCTTCTAACGCTAAAAACCTCGTTTCGGTAATGCAAGGTTGGTACAGCAAAGATAGTCCCTGTTAAAATTTGTGCTTGAAAATAAACAATATCTATATATATATATATATGGGCCTTTTCTTCGAACGAGGATGAAATCCTTACATAAACAAAGAAAGCACCGTACGTTTTTAATAGTATACGCACAAATATAAGATCTTCGGAAATCGCAAATTTTATTGTACGTGAAAAATATTTGATATGTGCTTTCGAAATCCAAAGTCTGAGTATCAACTCTTATAAGATTATGTATTAGGTCGTCAAGAAATTAATGTTCCTTTTTTTAGAAGAAAAAACCCGAACAACATATATCAAAACAAAACCTTTATTAAATGCAATAGCCTCCATTCTTATCGATGATACTTTTACATTTTACCATCAGGTTGTTAATGCCCTAATTAAAGAAATCACTTGTCTTTGAAGCAAAAAACATGCCGACGTCCTCTTTAACATCTTCCACGTTTTCATACATTTTCTCATTAAGATGGTATTGCAGATGGTAATCTGATGTTGCCATATCTGGAGAATATGGTGGGTGGGGGAGAATTTCCCAACCCAATACCACAACCTTGTGTTGCATCAAACGCACCACATGTGGACGCGCATTGTAGTAGGGAAGAAGAACATCTTTCCGATTGACAATTGAAGGGCGTTTCTGATGAAAGGCTGGATTTAAACGTTTCAGTTGCTGACTATAGATCTCTGCATTGACAGTTCGCTGTGGATTGAGGATTTCGAAATAAATTACTCCTTTGATGTCCCACCAAATGCAAAGCACCACTTTGGGTTTTGGGCTCGAAAGTAGTTTTTGTCTAGAACTGAGTAATTGTTTTTAGCGTTTAATATTCGCATAGTGAATTCGTTTTTCATCATCGGTGACAATTCTTTCCAAAAATGATTCACGCGCATTACGCGCCAGAAGAGACGAAGCAACGT